GTACACATTTACCTTTCCAGTGCTGCAGCAATATCATTAAAACCTCTATGGGAGACGTTGTTTTTGTCTATGACTAGAGTTCTGAAGAAAGCGAATCATTAACGGATAAGCCAAGGAAACATTGTTAGTAATAAACATGATAGTTTACCTTAATTTGGAATTGAGCTGCAGTGCTTTAGCTAGTATACGAGCACCTTCATCACCGATGCCGTTTCCACTGAAATTACAAGTCACTTACAAGTCAGTTACTGTCCCTGTCCCTAACGTATTGAGATTCGTAGCATAACGTACCTTATGTCAAGTTTGATAAGCGTTTCGTTGGTCCCCAGAGCGTCTAGTAATGGTATCATGTCTTGTTTTAACTTTGAATCAGCTAACGACAATGAAGTTATGTGCTGGGGACAGAATAAAGAGATTGATAAATAAATGAATTCCCACAACTCGAAAAAAGGAAGCAAATAATTACCGAATTTTCTTCCGAAATGAGCTGAATCAAGGCCTCCATTGCAGCACTTGATGTCCTAAGAATTCAAGGAAACATGTATAGTTCTTTCTGAAAGACTGTGCACGATCTTTTTTAAAACGTTTTACCTTGCTTTGAAGTTTTGCCCTATCAGAAGTTCTTGAATAGATTCATTCTGTCCAAGCCCTTCAAGCAGATTTACAAAATCACCTTCAAAACCTGAAACGAGAGAGAAACAATTCAGAGAATATAAGAGTAGAGTATTTCAATTTTGTAATAGAATGGAAAATTTCTTCTTAAGAATGATTATCATCCATTTCACTCACTCACTCACCCACTCACTTTATCGTAAACAACATTAAATCCCTACCATTATCACTGATGTTAAGTTTCTTAATATTCTTGACTCCCTGAACGGACGTTGCCAGGACGTTAGCCCCAGAACTTTTGAGCTGAAAGAATAAAACAAACATATTTACATTATAAACTATTCAATCTAATATTGACTGTTGCGTTAACCTACCTCGTTTTTACTGATGTCAAGCTCCACATCTGTCAAATTCTCATTCTCAGAAAAGCCTTTGAACAAAGCTCTGAACACCACAAAGAACTACTTTAATTGAATTTTTAAGGAACATATGATGCTGCATTTTAGTTAAGAACGTTTTGTAATTTTATACAATTTCTTATGAATGCTACATGAAGACCTATTCCCGTAATAATGTAAGTGTTTGGTAGGTCATTATACAGTGTCAATATCTAAACTCCTTACCTCACTGCTTCTGGAGGTAGTTTACAGTTTGATAAATCAACATATTTCAAGTCTTGAGCCAGGCTGAAAAACTGAAACAAGCAAAGCAAAATCAAAATTTTGTCATCATGCACAATACTGGTCCCCTATGAAATGTAAGCAAAAAGCACCATATTGTACACAAGCAAGGCAAAATTTAAATACATTGTACAGCTGGACAAACTGTTAAAATTGACAGCCACAAAGATACAAATAAAAAGAAACACACAGAATGTGACAACAGACAAAAAAAAAAAAAAAACAACAAGATACACGAAGAAAATGAATAAAAGATGGCAGGAAAGCAGACAACCAAATGAGACAGACAAGCAGGTAAGCAGTCAGACAGAACAATAGCAAATACAGAACCTAGGGCTCTGCTATTTACCAAGTTATAATATTATGTAAGAGTTTTGATATGAATGATCATTTAAAAGTATGTAGTTTATGAATGAAAGAGTTGCTGGTTTAWGTTGTACACTTTATGCTTAAACATTACGTCAAGATTTAGAAACAGTAAAATTAATATCATTAATATCACACCAGTTTCATTGAATTGCATGTATCTAAAAGGCTTCAATGTTTGTGAAAAGCTTCATTCACCTTGATAGTACATGGTTGTTCTACAGCATCCTGTGCCAATGAGTTTTTGTAAAGATTTCAAAAGAGTTAATAATGTCAAAAGTATTAGTTTCATWGAAAGAGAGATTCACAAAACTTGTCACTGGTTATAATTACTGAAATGAGAAGGAAAATTAAATTTTGAAAGAGAAGAATGTGTGTCTTTTGTGATCATATTATCGTTTTTGGGAGCCTGTGCCCTACCCAAACCCAAACAAGGCCACAACAAAAAACAAGTAAACTTTTATTCTTTGATTTGGAATATAAATTCCTGATATGTTAAATAGACCAATAAGAAACAGAAAATTAAGTGGGAATTGTAGAGAAAAAGAGATAGAAAGAGTTAAACAACAAACATCACAATAAAAACATCTCACTTAGCCTCTTCAGGCAATTTATCCTCTCTTGGACTTCCTGTGTTMATAATTATGACAGAGAAAACCTGCCTCTCTCATCAGGTCAGTGTTTTGACACAGGACTACCAATAGAGTTGAGCTGCCTATATGTCTGAGGGTACATCAAACTAAACATGCACAGGTATACTAGTAATCTCAAATATRTTGCTAACCTGATGAAACGATTGCTGGACAGTGACTTCTTTTTTCCTAWAAGATGTTAAAGTGTTATTTAAGYGAAGCTACTGKGACTGCTATGATTGGTCCACTTTGGTGGTACCACTGATAACATYATGTGCTGTAAGCCATTATAAATCTCCACTGCTGGACTTACTTTGTGGTAAAGTTGTTACCAGAGAGATTAAGATGCATGAGATTTTGCACACAACCTCTCATCAATGCTCCAAATAACTGCAAAACACAAAATTGACTTAAATTAACAAAAACTTTAAAATTTCCAAAGTGTTTCCTCCACAAGCTAAGAATTATTTTTTGATAAATCAGTACTATTAACAATRAATATTGTTCTGAGAGCTTACCAAATCAAGAGAACAGTCTGTGTTGGACAAATCAAGGTGAGTCAGAGCATTTGGCTGAGCTAAAAAATCTGACAATGCCTACAATGAACAGCAATAATAATCAGAACAATAGGCCCTATTGTTTCTGCTTTGTTCTTCGGTTTCACTTTGTGATATTCTGGTGAGATCTGACCCAGTTAATATGTACAGATTACTGTAGTTTTTAAAGACAATTACTTACAGTTACTCCCTCTGCTTTCAAAGGATTCTTGGACAGATTCAACCTATGATAACAGGAAATTCAAGTCTCTTTAATCTTGTGAAATATTAAAGTCTGTTCTATGCATGTCTCTCTAGTGACAGCCCTACTACATGCACCTGSCATCTCTCACCTTTTCAAAGAACTCTGTACATATTTACTGCTCTTGAATGAACTGACCAAGCTTAGAGTTCCTTTAACTGTCAAACCATTGTCRACCAGAGAGAGTGAGACAAGACCTTGTGGTTTGTTAAAGGATCCAGTCAAATGGCTGAGACCTATCATGTATAAAATATCAAAGAGTGTTTCAATAGGATTTTATCACATCAAAGCATGTTCTCTTTTACAATGCATTATTYATRACTGGTTGATTGACAGATTGATTGATTGACAACTGACTAACTGACTGATTGGTTATACCTCTGTCTTCCATTGCATTATTGGAAAAGTCAAATGTATGGAGGGCTGTCTTTGGATTTGATGTTAGAGCCAGRCCTACTTTGTGAAAAAAATCTCTGAAAAAGAAAAAGTGATACRRATTTGCATATGAATGATAGAAATAATGGKGYRCAAAKGAGAGTAWAAAAATGAATGTTTGGACAAAGGTCTAAATGAATGGAAAAATTAATAAATAGTACCTTCCTAAGCTGACTCCATCAAGRATTAGCTCTTCAAGAGTAGTCGACTTCTTGATGACTTTTATTATGACATCACAGACATCAGAACTCTACACAATAAAGCAACATGGTACATTATTACATAATGGGTATACTAAATGAAATACAACATTAACAGAATACAAGCTCACCAGCTTAATTGAACTGCATATTAGCTTGGTAAACCATGAATTRTACTCCAGTACTGCTATGATTGGTATCAAATCCCTGTCAAATAAAATAAATGCAYYCAGGTAAATCAAAATGAAGTWTAATACAGCATTTRTGTATGACAAACAAGAACGAGARCAACAATGAAAAACTATCATCTTCATCAAACAGTATTCATTCACTCACTTTTGTTCCAAGTGGTCAAAATCTTGCAGGTTGAACTCCTTGGTGTCATGTGATAAGTATATTGTATCAACATCCTGTAGAGTAAATAAAATGCACCGGTCAYTGATATCTAATCCATTAAATATATAACTAAGTGATATTTGAAAACACATAATTACAATATGATGAGATGGACTGGTCTCAGATGTAGGGATGCACCACAAACATGGTTACAAATGAGACAAACAATAGGAGAAAGTAATATTTAAAAAGGGCTCAAAGGTCTTAGTTCAGGATCTGCCACAGCACAAAGACCCCGAATGTTGACCTACAGATGATTTTATAAGCACTCTTTTACTGAGAATTACTGAGTAAGTTCAAAGCACACTTTCTTGATATCATCATCAAGCAAGTAAAGAACTTTGAACAATATCATCAAGCAATTAATAAACATTCATACCCAGGCTACTTCTTCAAGGTAATGACTTCCATAATAATCACACATGCAGGMGTACACCTTAGAAAAGCCACCTGGTAAAACAAACACAAGAGGTTTTAAAAAGCAGAAGCATACTGTATTACAAAAAGAAATTGCTAATTACCACAAGGTCCAACTTCATTTTCAGCATTGGCATTAATCAAAATGTTCACAAGATTGTTCACTTTTTCCTGTCTTGATTCTGCTTCTTCTGGTGGACCAAGTGTGAGCCTGAAACGACTGGAAATACGAATGATGAGAGAAAGGTTAAAATGAAGAGAGAAAGGGTGGAGGAAATAAAAGAATAAAGAGGAAAAAAGAGACAGGGAGAGAGAAGGAAGGAAAAGAGGAAGGAAGGAAGGACTAAATTAGGAGAGATGGGGGAAGAGATGAAGAAGGAATGGAAGTAGGGGGGAAAGAATGAATGGAGGGAGGGAGAGAGGGAGCCGAGGGTGAGAGAGGGAGGAGAGTTACAATAGGAAAGAAGAATGGAAAATAAAGAAGAAGGTATGAAAGGTAGAATAGAAAAAATACTGTACTTACTCAGGGTTACCAGAAGGAAATGAAGACTTAAGTGCAGCTTGTATTTGTGCAATAATTTCAATACTGTCCTTAGGTTGAAATACTTTTATGGAATATACTTTGTCTGATGCAGTTATATTCAGCTAAAACAAACAAAAAATAATAATCAATTACACAAGCACMTTTCAATCAATCTTTATCAATTTATTCTTACCAAAAGTGGCTTTAAACTTTCAATTTGCTGAATTGATAAAATATGAAAGCTGGATTCAACCTATGAAATAAYACATAAAATAACTATTATCATAAATATATGGACTTATCTTTACAGATGTTTGTTTAACCAATGTAAAGCAAAGTCTTACCTTTCCAACAGTTTTATTAGTGCTTATAATATAAACACGATATGCTGACGAAGCCTGTCAACACAAACAAAGCAAAGTTAGTTTTCTTCAAGKACTTCATGATAAGGTTTTATGTCACTGATCCAATGACATAGGAGTTCTTAACCAAATAGAGAATATTTATTTAAAAGGAATTCCTATAAACCTACAACCTCATATACGTTAACACTGAAAAGAATAATGTGGATTATTTAGTAATTTTGGATTAATTCATTATTCTAGGTTTAATTTATAATTTAACATATTTATTCATCTTACAATAGACTTATATTCTAGTTCTTGTATTCAAGTGACAAAATTGAGAGTTGTCAAATATCACAATAAGTTACATGTGGCTCATTTCAATGCTTTAATTGGTTACAAGTCACGAGTATACATTCCTTTGTAGYCACTTGTCTGGTTTCCCTAATTGAGTAAACAGTTAAAAATGCACTYCTCAAAATGGCTCATGAAGATCACTAGACAAACCTTTTACAGTAAAAAAAACTGACTTCATTATAATTTGTACAATTATTTACATTAGTCTTTTTTATATTTCCTTAATTAACTTGTGAGATATCTTTGGTTTAATTTAATAGGCCCTGTCAACTTGGGTGAATATACTTGTCTCTGCATCTGACATTTGAAGTCACTCATGCAWACTCTGAGCAATAGAACCAGGAAGTTTAAGCACAAGATGAAAGCTTATTGAAAAGTGCACAATCGCAAGCTGACGTTGTGTTTTCGATGCCTCAATTAGCAAAATAAAACAAGGTAAAGATGCTACAAAATAAGACAGCACTTATAGTTCACATATAACATATAATTAAAATAATTGGAAAATTATGCCAAAATCAATGATAACATCACCAGAAAGGAGCCAAGATGCTAAGTACAAAAAAAACAAAACAAAGACTTTACACACCCGTGCAGTGTACACTTACACATTCATTATAAATGAATAGAATAATGCTAGAATATCACATTGAAATCATGACCACAATGGGCAGTTTCTTGGTTTTAATCTTATTGTATGCTTTCACTATACGACTTGTCGAATAATTAGATTATTGGTGTTGAGGCGTTGATACACAAGCAGGTACTAGTTATTAAACAATATGTTTCTTTCTCCATTTTGGAATAATTGACCCTAAGCCAATTAGTCCAAAGTGATATCACTATTTTTTGAATCAAGAATCTAGTGTAGACCTTACATTAGATCATGTTATCACGGTGCCGTGTTGTGATAAATTGTGCAAATATGGCAAAGTTAATTTTTTTAAAAATATAAACATTTGCAACCCTTTGACTTYAAAATAATACTTCAATCGTACCTTTCATCACAATGTCAATTTGCAGAATATATTCAATGGATCAACATCAGTACAAAAACATAACAAGCAACTTTAAATCTCCCGTGTCTTTTAGAAGATAGAAATAAGCACAAGAAAATAAACAGACATGATATTATAGTAACGATCAAAATAAAAAATATCGTTCAGTATGCTTGCATTCTTCAGTAAAATTAAACTAAAGGTAGAATTTACACGGGAATTAAAAGGATACGTTAATAAATTAACGTAAATATCTAGTGGGCAATGCTCTGCAAGTATCAAAGAACACGCCTACCCGAACCAGTCTTGTATCATACAGAATTATTTTGCCTTTGAATTTGATCATTATTTGACTTTGAATCTGTAGAAAAGTGGCAAATAGAGACCATAACATCTAAGTCTTCCAACTCCTGCGTTGCTAGCTTAACCTGAGGGACTCAGGAATTTAGTACTCAAAGTTTTTGGGGTTTTGATCGTCAGTGAGAAGTGAAGATTACTCGAATCATAACATTCGTTGTGCTCCTAATCTTGGTTGAAACTATTGATTCAAAATTAACACATTTTTTCCATACTTGGGAATCTAAATTGCACATAATAAAATCACTTAGGTTTATCTACCATAGRCCAGTGATACTTAGCATCAATTTTAACCAATTCCACAGGAAAYACTACTAAGTTTTGTGGATTGAAACTAAAAAACACTCACCAAAACGCGTGTTTCGATCTTCTCTCCCTTGTACTCTAATTTCACTTTCTTTACAAAATCCAAGTCACATCCATGACGAATAGCTTTCTTGACGAGGGCTAACAATACCAAAAGTATTAAATACATGATTTATAGAATTGTGATGAAGGAATTCGGCAAATATACGAACGTCAAGACAAACTTTCTTGTCACGTCCTCACCTAGAGTTTCAGGCTCTACGTTCCCCGATTCGTCCGCCATTTTGCCAAGACTTTARCAAATCCCTGACARGTCTGTAGAGTCCTTCTCCAGATAACCTAATATTGTAAATGTTTGTAAACTGACTCAGAACTGCCACACTTTCTCATACATCTTTCCTTCCTGTTCGCATGCCTCTGCACATGAAGACTGGGATCAAATCTCCATATTTAGCAACATCTAGGGAGTGTTTATTGATCCCGTGTAGGGGTGGGGTTAGGCTACTCAGGAAATGATTTTCCGGTGTAGTGCTTTGTACAAGTACAATATTGTTTACTCAGAATAACAATATATTGTTTACTCAGAATAACAATCAAAGTATAAATTATTGAATAATGAATGATAAAGAAATGAATAAATAAATAAATGATTGGATAAATGGATGTATGTATGAATGAATGAATAAATAATAAACAAATAAACAAACAAATAAATAAATAAATAAATAATTCAAGATATAACAAACAGTTGCTTGATCAGAATTTATTCATTTCATCATTTCATTATATTCTATTTGCACATTTCAAATTAATTCCTTTGTTTTCTATTGTTTAATCAACACTATCATTTATAATCTTGTTTCACTGTTGTATGTCCACTCTATTATACACCATATTGCTCAGTCTATCCAAGAAAATATAGCCAAAATACTTTGAACAACACATTTTGGAAATATAAAAAGATATGGTTATATAAAAACCTATGGATTGATTCTACAATTTCATTTTCATGGACTGGAGACATTTCTGCTAGAACAATTGCTGTTCTTGCACAAGGAGAATACTCAATAAGTCTGTGGGATTCCTAAGGAAATATCCAAAATTAATTAAAGAAAAATTATTAAAAATTGTTTATAGTTTAGGAGATGGTAGTGTGAGTTCCTTGGGTGAGACAATCACACCATCAATATCAGCATAAACAAATTCGCCTGGATTAAATGTAACACCACCAAATTTGACTGGAATATCTCTATCTCCTTGACCCTTTTTCACAGATTTTATAGGCATTGTCCCAAGCGCTTTAACACCAAGATTAATTTGTGAGATATCTTCAGCATCTCGTATACAGCCATACATGACAAYCCCTGACCAACCATTTTTKACAGCCATTGYGGCAAGATTGTCTCCTAGCATTGCTCTCCTCATGGATCCACCAGCATCAACAACAAGGACCTGTATAATCAATGCATGATGGTAACATATGAATAATGATATCTGGATCTGGTGCGTAGAATAAATCCATGCACCAGACAGTTGAACAAAGTGTGGAGAACGTTAGCCATGGATAAGACTTATCCAGTRGATAGTGCTATCTCTCTTCAGCTTGTACAACTGTTCCCAGCTGTTAAGATATTTCAAATGCTGTCAGACAGGAGCACCAATAAACCGGCCTAAAACTTGATAAAGCCAGACATCTTATGGTTGAGATATTTTTTAAATAAAGCAATCTGCATCAACATGCAGACAACAAATGAACATCTAGTCCCCACCTTTCCGTCTCCTTGTTCTGAAAGAGCTGTTTTTACCAAAACGTTATCTTCAAAACATTTCACCGTCGAGATTTTCCCTCCGAAAATCCTCTTKGCACCATAATCTCGAAAAATAGGCTCCACAAATTGTAAAATATCACTGTATTCATCACTAAGGTCCGCGGTCTTCAGTTCTGTCATTTTTGATAGATATCGAGTAAATCTAAAAGCGATATTTTGAACTCTAGTAGATTTCTGAAACAATGAAGATAGAGTGCTTGAAGAAAGTACCATAGTGGCAATGAGATGCATGCTGGGTAAAACCACACAGGAAACCCAAACAGTCTAATAGGAATGCCGCTCCTTTAGGATGTCTCAGCTAGTTTTAGGGAGGGGGGGGATCACTCTTAGTCAGGCTTCTACCCGTCGATCTGTTCGGCCAGGGTGACCCTACCAGGAGTATAAAACACAAGCCGACAAAGCTCTAGGGGTCTCTGAAGCACGCAAACTGCCCCACCACGGTAAGGCCAACTTTTTATAGAGAAAGATTTAGTCCGCGAGAATCATCCTTAAACAGCAAAGATCATGCGCGTTCATTTTTTTTCGTCGTAGTCTTCGTTAGGAATATACAACAGCAACAATGGTGGGTTTTCAAATTCTTTAATRACGTATACGCGACATGCTTGGAGCTACTAATATATAGATTAGGTATCTACAATGGTATAATACTTTGTGCACATGCAATTTAAAGTKAATGTTATCGACCTTTTGAAGGTTTCTGCAAAGATTTAAAATAGCAAAGATATATTCCGTGAAAGTAATTATAGAAAAATGCGTTGTAAGAAAATATACAGAAAGTCAAAAAAAAAAATCAATGAATATCTATATTCTACTGAATAATTTATTATATAAAATATTGTACGTATGGATATTTAATCAAAATGATATGGAATATATATTTAGCGATATCGGTAGACTACTCCGCCACCAATGTGGCTCCTCGACCGTTAGTTGACTAAATAGATATTGATTTGATTATATGTAAAAATTATGGAAATAGACCATAAAAGTTTTTGCTGATATCGAGATATCATGCACTAAACTATCGATAAGAGASCCAGCACACCAATGGTCAGCGTCATGGCTAGGTTGGCGGTGATTTTAGAGCAAAAGCTGCTTTGTCCAGGCGTTGGTGGAGGTTTGTAATCACAGTTTACGCAASTAGGGCATACACGACAGACACCGCTATCTTCAAGGTTCTTAGACGAGTASAGAGCCTCAGCRCGGTGCTCTGAAAAAAGGTTAAACATTCCATTAACTAATTAATCAATAATAATCCAATATATCATACAGCAAGTCAATCAATGAAACAACCAATAATAAAATATATTAAAGGAGCAGCGTCGACCGTCATTCAATGCGGTCGTCTTTTAGATTTTTCAATTATGGAAAATGAGTGACATCAAGTATTCATTCCCAATCCCTTTCAACCTGTCAGTTTAAATCTTTTAATCTTACAATATCTTCATATAGCATTAAGGGAGGGATGATAAAKAGTAAGGTTTTGCTGKYGATAACCATGTGTTGTAAGCCGTATTTAACTGATGGCGGTTGACCATGGTCCATTAAAAAGTATTTCTTGTATCTTTTGAATAAATCATRAGAATTGAAAAAAWATAACGCKCAAAGACGAAAATATAACAAGACATACAAAGTACAACATCTTTAATTGAAAAAATCAATAATACAAAATAATAAATCTACTTAGGTACTTGTTAATTAATCTAAATGACATGTATGGCATAGTAGGGTTCATCCATGGTTACCACGACAACCAAACCACACCTAAGTACGGTTACCCCGGCAACCTTCCTAAACGGCCACCTTAAGTTGATACCCGACTTGATTGTTTGTCCATCGGTTGCTAGGATATGAACCTCTCCTGTAAGGACAACAGTGTTACACAAACAGTAACGAAAGTCACGAAAAGTGTCCGTTCTAACTAACACTATACTTCCGGTCCAAGGGTTCACTTCACAGTGTTGGAAGTCGACATCCGGTTTATAAAAGTACAACTGCTGGCCTAAATGATCGAAGACTTGGAAAGCAAAGTCTTTGGATTCGWTAGTTGTGCTTCCACCAAGGATGATAGTGTCATTMCCKGAGTTAAAGTACCTTGGTAACGCAATCTCACGCACTTGGAATGAATTAATTAGCTTGTTGTCACGKTGATGTATGGACACCATGTTCCCCWTGGGGGTACCCGCTGACAGCATTAGAATCAGACCAGACTTTGTCACGGCATAAAGGTGACATTTTCCTCCACARCGAACAATCTCAGGCTCTGCCAGGAGCTTTCCTGTCCTGGTGAATATAGATAGGGGTCGTTTTGTTTCAGAAAGRATGCCAAGGGCACTKCCAACGTAGATATTGTCCTTGGAGTCTACGCCTATGATCCACCGKGAATGTGGRTGTCGCGASGTCGAGGCTTTAAATGACAACARCGGTTTACCCTCTAATGTATACACAGTGACGTAATTACGAGARTCGATGATGATTAACTGGTCTTTGYTGTTTACAGCCAGTGTGCAYGAAGAAGGGATTTTACCAACGAACTCCACGCAAGTTTGACACTTGTCTCTCACACTCCACYCATCTGTAGGGTGGATTTGTCCGAGACCTGTCTCAATGGCAGRAATTCCYATGGTCTGTCCAGATCCTGCTTCTTTACTGGCAAGCATTAKCCATTTCCAGACAATGTAATTAGTAAAATGAACCAAAGACAAGATCTTCCTMCATTTCCTGTCATGAAGTCGCTTTGTTAAGCGGTCTTTCAGCCTCCTTGAAACCTCGAGTGTCCTTGCTAGCATACTTTGTACATGTTCCAAGGAATTCATCTCGGTGATCAGCCTTCTGCAATCTTGAATACCCGACGCGAGATTATCAATACATTGTAATATCGTACAAGATAAAGATAAACGATGAAAATCAATCTCTCTCGAGTGGAAACTTTGGMCATTAGAGAACGATGCCAATAATTTCTCGACTTCCTTGAATTTGGACTTTGCTCTTTGCAAACAAGACTTTGATAYGTCTACCATTGGGCCATCAAAAGCTGCCGTTTCTTGAAGACTCGATGTTCCTTCTTGGAATTGAATATTCAGTTTTTTCTGCCGTGTACGTGAAGACTGATCACATTCATCTTCTGTCGCAGTCAGATCGGATTCAGAATCACACAGGGGAGCACAAACATTTTCGTTTCGTGATAATATTGCTCTGTCCGTCTTCTTGGACCACAAGGAATAGGAGTACTCTTCCTTTCCATGATTTTCTCTTAGTTTCTTGTCGTGAATGTTTTTGCGAGGGTTCATCTTGTTAATTTTCAAGTATTCAGGATTGTAGTTATTCCTTAATATCCCCCGAAGGTTTTCTCCTGGTCGTGTKTGCACCTTTTTTTCGTCGTCCAGTGGAGCTTTTTTCTTTTCATTTGGCTGCAAGTCACTTTTTTTGCTGACATTTTGTTGGTTTTCATTTTCATCTTCGGTGGTTCGTCCTTCTTGTAGAATCGTCACACCTTCGTGAAGTAGTAAAAAACCACGGAAAATACRCTCTCCACAATCGCCCCAGTAATCTGTAGCCTTTCTAAGTGGCTCATCTTCAAGATCATCTTCATACGCAATGGCTCTTGTATAGTCCTCGCGACAATTGAAAACTACGAGGCAGTATGCAAGGTTAATGGCATCGACATTCACTGCCTCAACCATGTTCGATTGTAAGCCTATAATCCACTATAAGTCTTCATGTATACCCACAWTGTTAATTATAGACCAGTTTTCTACGCATAGTCACAATGGTGATTAATGACCARCAAAGTGTCGCCAYAGGGCAGGTGAATGGAATGRTTCTCCGCATGTCATTTATTGAYGATTACGCCGAAAATTTTCTGATCTGTACTCAAGAGTACGGACCGGCGTTGMGATGTTCGTAGGATCCAAAAAGTTAATAGGTATTTTGAATAGTGATTTCTAATTTAGTTMAAAACAATAGATGCGATATACATACATATTGAAAAACATACAACACCATTTGAATAATTGCCATCGGACTAAAAGGTTTCCTGTTTTGGAACGCGCATAAGGGATGACTTAAGCTTAARCTTGTTTATATTCATTCAAACATACAGTTTTGATGAAAAGATTACAAACGCTGATAAACGAAAGATAATTTAAATTTCTAAAAGSTTTAGGAGAGCGATAACCTAACACAATACTGCTAATAACTCAACGATGCTTTTTAATATCCTCTCAAGCTGCAGTACAATGGAAACTATGGACTAACAACAAGATTTCTCTGTAGTGGTCCCAAAACCAATGAAAATGATATTGTAAACAGCTTMTAAAGAACTGATAAGTCTCGCTTAAGCCTCTTTAAGGGGGGTWTGAAACAAAGCTGAAGAAAAAAGCTAGTGAACAGCGCCTGTATAAGCCATACTGTAACGATGTAATTAATAAAAGATTACAAAAGCCAAGGCGCCCAGACCTCATCTTGATTTAATCTAGACATTCGTTTTAATTTCGGGTTATCTTCATGTTTGAAAATGTGTTTACAAAAAAACCAATTACGTTCAAATGTACAGTGTTTCTTTAAAGTTTAATGGGAATTTTGAATGTCAATTATCAAAAAAGTCTGTTAGCAGAAACAGGGAAAATTTGTGAGTGGAATTTAAAGAATAAGAAATTTAAAGAATAAGAAACATGAAAGATGAAATGAAGATGAAAAAATYAACTTACTTAATGATTTCTACAATTAAAGTCCATATTTACCTCGCCGCCCCTCACTGGCCGGCGCCTCTTTGTATGTCAATACTTTCTAACTGTGTTATTATCCCCGCAAACAGACATAAAGCGAGTTGTGTGCGTAAAAGGTTAGCGTGAATTTGAGGACTTCACACATTGGCCGACAATTATCATGTAAAAACATTGATGTCTTGTGTGGTCTGTATAATACCGCCATGTACAAACATRACCAAATTACTTGTTTGCATTGATAAACGCAAAAAGTTATTTGTCTTTGTACATGTTAACGGGACTCCTGCAGTAAAGCAATTACATTGCGTTTTATCAAATCTACTTTGTTTTAGAATGATCATCGATGTCGGAAAGAAAGAAAAAAAGGAAAATAGACGTGGACTGCACCTTAGTACTGTCATTTATTTTGTGTCTTTATTTGATTATTATACCTTTGTTGCGTAAACGTATTCTGCTGGACAGCTGAACAGTAAGGCCCGTTTTAAACGCCGCGCTACAGTCGTGCCGAACCAAATAGTTTGAATTAAGCACATGAACTGTCCCAGTCGTGCTGCACGGCAAAAATTCGATAGTGATTCATATTTGGTTCGACATATAAAACGACGTCGTGCCAAATGGAATTGGCTCGACAAAAATTTGGTATCTGGTTCGGCGCGACGCTGGCACGGCGTTTGAAATCTGTTTTATAGGCGATATAACTCGTGCTTGGTGGGATCGCTTGCACGGCGTTTGAAATCTGTTTTAATAGGCGATATAACTCGTGCTTGGTGGGATGACAAATACCTGGTACATATACGATATCTTACCCGGGTTATAGTAGTCATACAAGACGGCAGGTACAGGTTTTCCTTTTCCAACGGGATGTGTCCTTTCGAATTTCATAACGATACATGTTGAGTCTTTTTTCATTATCTACAATAAGACAAAGATTCCCGTTTTGAGACAGCCATAGTTTTATCACTATAGAAATGCTTACCAAATCACAGGAATGAATGAAATTTTCTTCATTACCTTGTCAAAGTAGACGATGATTTTCCTGGCTTCCTTCTCAACTTTTTTCACTAGAAGGTTTTTGTCTTTCAGCAGCTGCAGACAAATTTCTTACTCTCAGTGTTTTTATTCATTTATTTATTTATTTCTTCAAAATCGCTTGTCTGTGTACTGAATTTCACTTCTCGATTAGTTGGCTGAATATGGCTAACCTTCACATTTCTACTGTTACCAAATTTTCTATTTTCCTTTTGCTTCTTTTTCACATTCTATTCTTTCGTTCTCTTTCTGCCTCATAATTTTTTCATATAGTGTACCTTTTCAATCGCGTCTTGCTTTGGTGTAAATCCCGAGGCAACGCCGAGCTCCATGACAGCCATGTCTGACTCTTCGCCCTCRCCTTTCCACTTTGCACACGACTTCGTCTCGACCTCGTAGTTTCTGGCTTTCAGTATCTGGCAAATMAAGAAGGCACTATAATGAATGAACTATAATAAATAAATAAATGAATAGGAATAGATGGATAGATGAATGAAGTATTTACTTTACTTTAGAMGTTAATCCATGTTTACTCCCCGGTGGTGGGAGAGCCGGGGTTTYAATTGACTTTAACCGTGTGACGAGCAATTCACACATTGAATGTAGATACAGCTATTTCAAAATAGTTGAGTATACTGAATATTGTTATAACGTTTCTCGCTTTCTAAGACCGAAATGAATTGTTGCTAATGAATTCCACGTAAGTGACGTTGCAAAATGACACTGCTTTTCATCGTTATACTACCCAGCTAGCATTGCGCTACTCGGTCGTAGAACGCTTTACAGCAGTACATTAAATCGAGGGCAGATTTTTAAAAAAGAGATGTAACCTAGGAGACTGYTTTCCAGTGAATTAAATCTATCTCTGTCCAWAGCCCGCCTGCTAGTAGCCCTACCTCRACGACGAAATCAAAATCGGTCTTATCTGGGACCTTTTCCACGTGATAGGACACGCCCACTTGTARCATTCCAATGCCATGCCCAGTAGCTGATATAATCAGATTGCCTTTTACCTTGGAAATCTAACAGAAAGTAAAAAACATAATTTTGTATATGGCGCAGTAAGAGGGTACTCCTCGTTYCCTTGCTGTACGAACGGTGAATAGCGTCCATCGGATCCATCGTCGGATCCATCCTCTTTTCTGGACATCTATATGGAAGGCAGTAGCTGTCCCGTAAGACTGTTTGGTCCCTGCTCGTATTCTATACTACACCATACTACATCAATAAAGAGCAATATAGTTATAGACATTAGAAGTAAGTATTTATCAGGTATATTTATTTACCAGAACTTCCTGTAAGACCATGGCATTGTTGGCATTAACTTGGAACTTCTCRTTGAAYCCCACGTCGGTAGACTGCTTCAGGTCGACTTCGAATTTTTGAGAGGAGGAATAAACAAGRGAAGCAAATTCAGCCAATGCTTGGATCCCAAGGACAGTATCCTAAAAATACGAATCGGAAAWAGAATAARAATTTGGAGGCAGGGACCTTTCCATGAYACATACAAAAYTCTCGCTTTGAGGYCAT